GTTTCAAACCACAGTGAGCTCTCAAGGTGTTCATTAGATATTTCTAATGAAATTTTATTCTTCCTGTGCTTCATCCTTGAAAACAAATGTACATGATGCCAAAAAGTGGTGACATGAGTAAGGCGTGATTGTGAAGCAATCTTTCTCTGGTTATATCTTCATCTCACACAACAGTGAGACCTCAACACCCAGAGTAGTTGGTTACCTTCCTATGGTCTTGCTTTATCTTTGACCTGGGAAAACACCGAATCCAGAGCCCAGATCCCAGCTGGGTGACCAGGCACCCAATCCTTCAAAGCACATGCAAAGACCAAACCCATCGCTCAAAAGACATCAAAATTTGGTATTGCTTCAGTTAATGAAAAGGGAACTAAGAATGTTGTCAATATTAAATGTTTGTCCTTTCACAAAAAGGACAAACACTCTGAAGGCTTCGATGGAGAGTTTTACTGGTAGTACTGCTGGAAGAAAACTGGTTACTGATTAATAAAGCAGAATACTCCGACAGGACCTCAAAACTAGTAAAACCAGAGATCCTTGGCTAGGCTCTGTGATCTGAAAAGCTTTGGAAACTACCATATTATATCAAAACAATGCTTACTGTTACATACAAATCTGTATTAAAAAACTGGTTAATTGACACTTAAAGAAATATTTTATATTTATCTCCTTTAAGCTGTAAATAGTTCAGAAACAACAAGATAGGGAACAACTGCTAAAGACTACCGATGCAGTTGAGGTTTATCTGTCTTTATATATCACCTCTGCTTTCCAATGTAACATTTTGTCCAAGATTTCCTGAACAGAAGCATTATTCAGAATTCAACACCATACCTGTCAGAGAACCATACTGTAAATAATGGAATAAAAACAAATGATGCTTTTTAACTGCAATTGTTCACCCAGAAGCAATTGTTACACATAGCTTGAGGATACGAGTATGTTGTTTTTCAACAGGACTTGACTTCCCTTTTGCTCCCTAGTTGCTACCATAAAACATGATGATATAGTAATAATTATCCTGTTTGCATTTTAATAGCAGCATATTCTCTGCTGCTTTTGAGAAGCATGCAATGCTAAAGAAGAATAATTTTCTACTGGCATATGCAGTATATTTTCACTGTAAACTAGCATGGACTAACAGCTAATTTCATAAAACTAATTGTATTTTTAAGTCGGTTTGCTGAACCAGCAAAAATAGTTGGCAATATAAAATGCTATATGTGCCCAGAAAGTCTCTCACAACAGTTCTGGTTTACAGATCACCAGGTAGCAATGTCAGTCATATATCCTTCTACAGCCACTACAATTTCTTTAAAGAAAATTCCAGTATCTATTTAAAGTCTTGCAATTCAACCAAAGCTATCCCTGGACATTTGAAGTACTGGCTAATTTAATTTGTGCGTCTCCTTGGAGCACAGTTCACCAATGGCAGCAGCTCCAGCCTTCCATTTCACTGAGCAAAAACACATTGTCATATATGGAGCTGCTTTTGGAAGGAAAGAAAGAGCTCTCTCATAACTGCAAATACAATTTCCAAGAATACAGCACTGAACATGATACAGTACATTTTGAAAAAGCACGCTATTAAATTGACAACACAAAGTGCTGTGTATCCACTGCGGAAAAACTCTCCATATAGACACCCTCACAGAAAACATTTGTTCCTTACTTAAGGACCATTTTGCTTCATATAGCAACGTTTTTACTAGGAGTTAATGCAATTCGATAAGATTGTCCATGGGAAAAAAAAAATTATACAACTATCTACCAAAAGTTGAAATTGACAGAAATAAAAGATTCAAGCTAAACAGCTAAAACTTCAATATTTTACTTTCAAATTCAAATGGAAGATGAAAAAATTCTTTGTTAAAAATAATCTTAATGAATGATTTAACTTTCTGCCTCGGGCAAATTGAAAACTACTACGGAGATGGGAAGGAGATATAAATCCATACAGAGTACATAAACAAACTTAGCCTAAACATATATAAGACAATTTATAGAAACTTACTTCAGTGCATTCTGAAAGCATGCAAAATGTACTAGGAACAAGAACCATTGGTGATAGGTGGATGGTTGGACTGGATGACCTTATAGGTCTTTTTCCAACTTTAGTGATTCTGTGAACCGTAACAGACTCCATTTTTTATTACATTGAGTTTAAGATATAAAAATAAGATGCAGAAAGAAAGAATTAGAAAGAGCAGGTCTTTTTCAAAGACTGGAAAAGTATCTGGTTAGTCATGTTTTCAGTGATCCCTTTTTAATCAATTGAGTTAATCAAGTTTACACTTGTAGAAATAATCCAAACATGCGTTGTCATCTAGTTACCATCAGAGTGTTAAGTTCTGTTTTTAAAATAGTCTAATACAGACACAAAATAGAGATCTGGACTCTAAAACACAATGCAACAAATGCTACTAACCCTCATAAAGTATGTAGAACTTGCAAAAATGAGGAGTTAATTGAATTCAAAGGGCTTAATTTAGACTAAAAGTCTGAGAAACTCAAAACATCTTCAGAAGCAACCTTAGAGACAAGCATCAAAATCAGTAATGGCTGTAAGATACCTTATGTGCACTGTCACACTGATGCCATTACCACCAGTAAAACTTGTAATGTGTAAACCTAGACTGAATCAGTGACTACTTGACTATTTGCAGACAAATCACACTGCATATAGTATAGTTTAGAAATAATTGCCACATGAAGATTTCCAACTTAGAGCATAGAAACCTGTAGTACATAAGTGATTGCTTTAAAATCACAAGCACCTTACCAAACACTGAAGCTCCATTTGGTAACGTATTGCTGTTAGAAATATTGACAAGGTGGCAATCAGCAACTAGAAACTAAGTATGACCATGTGAATGAAGTATTTTAGAGAGTTATTTCAGTGCTCAGATTTAAAGATCTATATCAATATATGTTTAAATACGTTTCTTCTAACCATTTTTTGGTGTGTTCATTAACTGAAACATCTCACCTTTAAGCCTTATCGAGTTGCATACTGTAAGACTACTTACGTACAAAACACTGTAAACAACCCCAGCCTCCCTCTTCTTACATGACCAGATAACGTAGTTATAAAAAATCATCTCGTGCTGTTTTCTGCTTCCTCTAAGACACTTCAGTTCTCCCATGATAAACTTCTAAGTGGAAAATCTTTACACTATGTATCTGTAGCTCTCTGCATTTTTCACTGGAGCTTCAACAACACAACTTCTGAAAAAAGCAGAAGTGATTGTAGAAGAAACTGGGGTTCAATAACACAGCAATGACTTACACATGGATTTGAACTGCTTAGGTCTTTCATTGGGTTGATGGAAGAATTTCTGCAACACAGCTGCAGAAAGCTGGCAGTAATAAATTCTCCATACACTCCAAATTAAGTATCTGACTATTTCATTACTATTTTCAAATATGTGGAAGCTTGAGGCAAAGCCTCTCATTTCACAGTTCAGTATTTGCTTCTTTCCTTATTTCCTCTACCAAAGGTAATAGCACAAGGCCAAATAAGAATAGAACTCCCTTGGAGATGCCTGCTGTGAGACACGTCATAGCATTTCTGTAAAATTTCAAAACAATAGCTTAAGGGCAACTTTTTCCATTAAAAATGAAGTTATTTTGAGAGAGTCAATTTTTATAATAAGAGCCACAATAAAACAGATGAATTAAATTATTAAGTTTCCAATCCAAGTGTACAATTCTTTAAGTTCAAAATACTAGCCAAAAATTCACATTTATTGTCTGCAAATGCAAACAAAGATCAGAAGTTTTCTTTCTTTTTATATCATGCAAATATGTTAATTCAATATGGACTTCATGGCACGTATAATGTGACTATAACACGACATACAAGGCTCAAGTTATTTTTCTTTCTTTGCAATCTAAATAATATTTAAATACTAACCTACTTAAGGCCACAATCCTGATTGTGTTACCCATAACTTCTCTTCCCTTTCTTTGTTATATCCTACCGTTGAATTGTTCTAAGTTTCTTTCGAACATTTCAGAAAATATTCAGTGTTAACACTATTCCTAGGATACAAATAATAACAAAACTAATTCAGAGTTATACCGGAATGAAAAGATTTCTGGATACTGATCACTGTGTGGATCTTCTCCTGCACACTTACTACTTACCAGTTTAAAAATCACATCTTGTAATACTGAAAACTCGTGTCCGTATACAATGTGTTTCTCAAACTGCTTCTCCACCAAATAAGTGTATTTATACATCTTGTATTTGTTACTAAATTCATCAGTATTCATCAAATTCATATCGGTTTTAAAGTCTTGTCCTAAAACAAGAACCCTGAGATATGACAGGATTCCTGTCTGTCACAGCAGAATTTAATTTACAACAACTGTGCTAATCGTGCAAACCTAAGCAGCAAGAGAAGTTCACTGGCATTTATAGACAAGCTTCGTGGCACAGAGTACTGTACTGCATGAAAAACTTTTGATGTTTGATTGGATTCATGTGAGATCATTACAAATACTCTACTGACATTAAAAGCAGTCTGACAATACTTGTTAAACAGGAAGCTGTTAATCCTATTTGCTTCAAATAAATCCTCAAAACTTTGTATGGTTCACGAAAACACCCCAGAACTCCTCAAAGGAATCCACTTCCAGAAATAGTAGTATATCTTAAAAGTGTTTTCAGAATCCTAAGGAAGTTCATGAAATTCACTGTTACTGCTGTGTGAAAAAATTAGTACTCCCTTTTAAGAAAGTGGAAATAGAGCAAAATGACCATACATCACCATTGCTGTAACAAAATGCTTGTATGAATATCATCTGAGCAATCCTAAAATCAAAAATGAAATACTGTTCTTGACAGCTGCACCCAACATAAAAGACAGAAAGGCACCTCCAGCCAAAACATATCAAGAACACTAAAACCATAATAAAACCATATTGTATCAAGTGAAAATAAGACCTAGTAGATTTCAAGGACTAACTTCTATTGTAGGAATAAAAACTCTTACCTTGAAAAGACTGTTTGGCTCTATCCACTAGTTCTTCAATGGGATAGCTTGCTAGATCTCCTCTGGCATGCTTAGTTTTGCAGTAAGTACATGCATTGAGACACCTGGTCAAAAAATGACAATATTCAGTCTCTTGCCAAGAAAGACTTAACATGCATAAATGTCTTTCTAAAGAATATCTAGGAGAATGAGCTTTTTTATAGAAAATAGTAGTATTCTGTTTTAAAATAAACTCAATTGATTTGAAGAGTGTTTTCCTCTCCTACTTCCATTAAATATCTTCAACATCTATAAAGAGGATGAAAGAAATTATCCAGTTCAAAGGATTCTTTTATTTCATGTAACCCTGCATGAAAACGATACTTTTCTAGATCTTCAAGATGTGTTACTACATCATAAGCAAAATGAAAAGCTGTAACTTCAGTAGCACTGATGTTTAAGATAAAATTCTAATTTTATTCCTGGGCATCTAAATAACACAAAAAGTAGAATGAAAATCTTCCAGAATATACTCAAGTCTGTGTCATCTGCTCCAAAGCCTGATCCCAGAAAGCACAAATAGAACAATGGATACAGTGACCTCAAGTTGTTAAGTTACCACTAGAAATTAAGCTGCAATATCACTTTGTGACATATTATAACATTATATCATTAAATGAAGGAAGTCTCTGTAAATATTCAATTGAGAAAGCATCTCTACCAGATCTGTTCATGTATTAAGGAAAAAAAAATACTTCTTCATACTGAAAACTAAAGCTGGAACAAAACAGTGAGGGTGCTAACATAGGAAGGCATACCAATTTGATTGCACAGGCTGCATTGTCCAAGGTGCATTACTATCACTTTCCTCCATAGGACACCCATATGGTCCCTGCCAAACTGACCAAACTGTACTAAAAAAAAGGCTAGAGCTCCCTTCCTACTGGCATTTTGAGTCTTCTGTTGTTTAAATTTCTTTACAAACTGTTTGTGTGTCTATACACTCATTTTTATTCTCAGTTTAAAAAAATCTTAGTTACATACTTTGGTTGCAATGGTCAGAATATGAATAGTATTATCCCACTAATCTAATATGAATAAATGAGCCAAATCTAAACTAGTATCAATGCACGGTAAAAATGATTATTTATGCTATTTGCATAAAATTTCTTTTTCCTTTTGTAGTCTATTAATGGTGTAGTGAAAGAAAACAGCATATTGCTTCTTTCTTTATTAGAACTCATGCATAATTCATCTATTTATTACTCAACATATGTATTTTGCTCTATGTTTGGGTACTGGCATTTGAAAAGCTGTGCAGAAGAAGTACTAAATATTAAGAGGACTGAGTTCTAAGCATCTGTACCAAGCAGTGAAGTTATTAATCTCTGACCCTTGAGGCTAAGTTTCATATTTTTGGTCAATGGTCCTTCTCTACATGACCTAACAGCTTTTGATTCATGTCTAACCACCTCTTCTATCTATAACACGGTATTTAGAAACAGATAAAAAAAGCACACGGTCATATTTATAGGAAAGAATGAAAACTAGTTTCTCATGCATCTTCAGAGTCGCCCTATGGGAAAATACTGCTTAGCATAAAGTCCTGGGTAAACTGAAATATACAGTAATAGCTTATTTTTATTTTTTCTGATGCTGCAATAATCTTGGTCACACAGAGAGACGGAAATGTGTAACAAGTGGGAAAAAAAGAGGGGAAGTTGTTCTCCAAATGTTCAGAGAATTAAGAAGGTTTGCTCCCAAGAGATTTATTACTGTAATCTACGTATGACTTCAGGGAGTTTGTTAGTCTATTCTCAGATGGGAGATGGAAGCAGGGATTTGGAAGCGAGCTTTCTTCCAAATTTTGCAGTATCAACTCTCTCTACCATAAAATATTGTCTGATACTTAAATAATTTAGTCTCTTTTTTTTTCTGGCAGTAAGAGACACTACATTATGAAAACAAAATGAGATAGACCTCAATGTAATATAGAAAACATCGATGTTAGAAAGCACACAACAACAACACTTGCTGCCCAGAGAGGCTGTGGATGCCCCGTCCCTGGAGGTGTTCAAGGCCAGATTGGATGGGGCCCTGGGCAGCCTGGTCTAGCATTAATTGAGGAGGTTGGTGGCCCTGCATGTGGCAGGGGGGCTGGAGATTCGTGATCCTTGAGGTCCCTTCCAACCCTGGCCATTCTGTGATTTTGTGATTCTGTAACACTTAGAAAACCTACTTGTATCGTACTTTTAATTCCCTCTAGGAACATAATTAATCTTCTGGACTGCAGTTAATGAAGAAGCAGATTTTAAGTACTTGTAAAACTGCTGAACTAATAACTTTTCACAGACTTTAGAATTACCTTTTCTTAAAAGCATAAATTTTAACAAAACCACAAAGTATAACAAAGTATTTGTAGATGTTGCCCCCCACAAAACTCAAGCAAGCCCATTTCTGGTCCAAGTTTCCAACTTCACAAATCATTCCTACATCCATATTGCCACATCCTCAGACCACAGTTTAACAGCTGCAAAAGGGCTGTAAGGAACTCAGAGAATCTGAACGCTGTGTCTCTCTAAGTATCTCCTAAAATCAGCCCAGCAGGTAAAACTCTTCTTAAAAATCAGCCTTCATCACAACTACAAATCCAATACACAGAAGTAAAAAACCGATGGACTTGTAATTGCAAGAAGTATTTTGCTCTGTGTTAAAACTGAAATCTTCAAGTACTTATACTTGGTCTGTAAAAATTATTTTCTATTAATACAGGTCAAAACTTCACTGCCCAGATATACCAGATAGTTATGGAAAAAAATAGTAGTGGTCTTCATGTTTATAATCATCAACATGTTTTAGATGAAGCTTTTTTGTTTTTCTGGAACCATTAAATCCTCATTTTTCAACATTGTCAATTTGATAAGGCAGCTTGAATTGTTAACCTCTTGCTTTGAATTATTAACCTTTATTCTGCTATGTGCCCAATACACAGAACACAAACAAAATGCTATCCACAGATAAATTACTACCATGTGGCTCCTTAAAAAACTTTGCACTTGACCAAAGTGTCATTATGGACAATTTGGTCAAGTGCCTGAAATTCTGCTCTACAGGAAACAGTGGTCTTCACGTTGTTGAACTCACATGTGGCTTAAGCAGTGCATTACTTTAAGCAGAGGCTTTTTTAAAAATGCACACTGTTGTCAGTATAATAATATTCCTCACAAAGCACACACTTAACTTGAAAGGCTACCCATCGCAGATGGAACTAATTGTAAGTAAGGATACTCATGACAGAGCAGAAAAACAAGGACTTCCCTTCAGTGTGACTAATGGGTGGATTTCAGCAGCAGATGAGAATAACAACACAGATGAGGAGCAAAACCTTGGTTCCTGTTAAATTAATAGGATTTTTGCCACTATTTTTAGTGAAGACAGGATTCCATTCTCGGATATGAGCATAAAACATATTTCATTCAAGGATTGTAAAACAGCTTAATTACAGACTGTGATGTGCAATTAGTGTGCTGTTCGCTCACACTTAATGTGATTGACCAAGAACAGACATCTGTGAGCAAGATGTGAAAGCTGCATAGCTGTCACAGTGGCATATGACAGAAGGTCCCTGCTGCACTGCGGGTGGTTGGGTGGTTAATGTGGGGCAAGGAGGACACTACTGCCCTCTTAATTTCCTGAATAATCCAGCAAATACTGGCTTGGTATCAAACTAATGAGCTTTGGAAAAAAAAAAAAGTCATAAGATGATCTTCTCCCAGATTAGAATTTTGTGGAACTAAAATACCACTCACCACAGCTGACTCAAAATATTTACTAACATCTGCCATTATGAGATCTGACTAGTTATACAAACAACAGGTTTTATGAAGCTTGCCAGTAATACAGTACCTCTAATAGTACACTGGACCATCTTATCTGTACAAATACAGAAAGATTGCTCTTAACAGTCACCCACACCTTCTCTCTGCACCTACAGACATCCTCAGGCAGCCGAGTACTTTGTGTTTGCATAAAGCATTCTTCCTGAGAAAATGACTTGCTTGTTTCAAAATACAGTCCACAGAAGAGATTTAGGCTTTTGCCAAATACTTTTGAGTTTCGTATCAAATCTAATTTTGATTAAAATGCTCTGTAATGCGAGCAAGTGGAAAAATTCCTTTGTGGCTTGCCTGAGCAAACCAAACCAGAAACGTGTACCTCCAACAGGTGAAAGGGAGAAGGATGCTACTCAAAGCTTACTGAACAAGAGCTGGCAGAATTCTACACACATATTTCTTCTTAGGATGCAAACGTTGTAATCATAATAGCCTCTGTATTAAGTCAAATACGATGAGTATTTATTAGTATTTTACCTCGACAAATGCTACTTTGTGCTTCCAAATTTTTTAAACCCCATCAAGCCTAACTGTGATGGATCAAGGCAAAATAGTGTACGGGAGAGAAAGTGTGCCTACTATGCCTGCTGTTGAAGTTTGTGCATTTTACAGTACAGCTTTTAATCCACTATGACACAGAAGATATTTTCCTTTAAAATCTAGAAGTGTGTTTTCACTTTAAAACAGATTTGGAATTCAAAGTATTTTTGAAACAGAGGCAAGCTATTTCTCATCAAGGCCAATCAGTCTAAGCAGCAAACCACATTATTACAGAAATACTGTTTGTTTACAGAAATCCTGGTCTGTTCAGTGAGCTTGGGCATGTGCCATAATGGCTATGCCACAAAGATGCACTCAGTGTTACAATACAAGTTTCCATGTGATAAAAACAGGACTTCTGTGAAATTATCTTGGCAGCCAACTATTTTAATAACTGCTCTGAAACAGCAATGTCTCCTTACAAACAAAATGTCTTGCAACAAAGTTTTAGAAAAAAACTGGATGATCCTTCAAAACACACTCCGCAATATATGGGACTGCCTGTATTTTTCTTGACGTATGATGCAAAGTACTGGATGCTATTTTTTTAACTTTAATTTTAATTTTTAAATTTAATTTTAATTTTTTTTTAATTTAAATTTAATTTAATGCCGTGCCATTTCATGCAGGGCAAAAAGGGATCAATGTGCATTACAGTGTTGTTCTTCCAAAGACCTTTGAAAACAGTATTT